CTGTGAAAATTAACTCTATCCCAGCTGAACCCAGGACAGTCTGTAACACAGAAACTGAACCATGTTTCATCAGAATGGCAAGGTAGATAGATCACAAGTCTCCAGTGAAATTTACAATTACTTTTATCCATTGTCTGAGAGAAACTAGCAGAGATATATTTTTTTTTTTTGAGCTGGTAGAGAACTTGGATGTGGCCCTAACTCTTCTGCATGCAGGTTGTAGAGCTGCATGGCTTTGAATTCCTTCCAAAGTGGGACAGCACATAAGATCCCCTTATATGTCAGTATTTTTTAAATATGGTCTGAATGGCTAACTGTATTGAGCAGTTAAATCTTGTTTGGCTGAATGAAAGAGGATGGTTTGAGTTCACTTTGGTTGTGTCTTGTGTCAGTTTTCTATGCCAAACGTATGACACAAGCACTAAAATATATATAAATATTTTAGTCTAGATCTTTTATTCTCCTGTGAAGGACTCCAGAAATAGTGAAACTCCTCAGTTAAGCTGTCATTACAGAGGATCAGTGCATGTAATTATCCCCGTTTTCACCATCTTTCACTTTTTCCTCAGTTCAGCTTTAATGACAGTTTTAACTGTAGTTTTCTAGATGCCCTTAGCAAAACCACTTTTAGACTTTTTGGACTGAAGATAATGAAATAACTAATTTCATTATGTATCTTCAGGGAATCAAGTAGTAGAGTAGAAGACTGGTAGGGATGTTTCACAATATGACTTGTCACTTTGACAGTCACAAAGTGTAATCCAATGCCATGGGTTTTTTTATTGCCATTGGAAAAAATGTCAGATATTAAAGATGTCTGAAAGTGTGTGGCTGATCAAAACCTATCTTACCCTCTTGATGTGTTCAATTTTAACATGTTACATTTAGTGTACCAGACCATATTGAGCTGCAATCATAAAGTCTGTGGTTTTGTTCTTCTCATTATCTTGCAGTGATGTGTTTGGGGTTTTTTTCCTCTTTTCATTTAGATGCAGAGCCTGAAAGGTGGTACAGAAGCCATAGCCCATTTGGACCAGTTAGAAGCTGATTATTATGATCTACAGCTTCAATTATATGAAGTGCAGTTTGAGATCTTGAAATGTGAAGAGCTGCTGCTGACAGCACAACTTGAAAGCATCAGAAGACTGATGTCAGGTGCTTTATGCATTTTAATTAAGATGTAATCTGTAAAAGATAATTCTTTTTCTAAGAGTCTAGTAAAGCCTGTGGGAATGAAATGAACAGATTCTTTACCATGTGAAGAGCTGGATCTTCTAATATAAGTACTGTTAAATTAAAACGTACACCTGTTCATAAGGCCTATACATACACATACAGAAGTTTTGGTCTGGTTCTCATTGCCTGTGTTTGGAAATAAGCATATAAGATAATATGTAAGTTTTGGAAAGCTAAATTCAGGGAGGAAGAAATGTCTTAATTACTGGACTTGTCTCACTAAAAATTTGCATTGGTATTATTCATTTATTTGAAGTGATTGGTTTTCCAAAGGTATTCCTGCAAATTGGAGTCCTTCAGCTAAACTTTGAAGCATGTTGTGTTGGCCATCTGACTGATTTAAAGCAGTGATGGAAACCTTATGTTTCCAGAACCTCCTATACCTTGCATGTGTACAAACTATGGAAATGGTACAGGTAAATCATAAAGTGTTTTTGAATCCATTTCTGTCCTTTAGATCTTTCTATAGTTAATGGTTTTATTCACACAAGCTCTGTTTCATTGTTTAGTGCATAGAGCTTGTGTAGCAAATTTTGTTATGGATAGAAAAGTGACTTAAGAAGAGAGATTTGAAGCTGGATTGTATTGTGAGTTGCCTCTGGAAAAAGAGAAAACATAGGTATCATGAATTCTTCTCACTGTTATGTGAATCTCCTCCTTTTCAGCTTGCGATGGCAACACCTGTAACTGCATGTAGGGAAGATGAGGGTTGAAAACTCTGTAAATTACTTTAAAAAAAGTGGTGGCTTTGACTAGGTGCCTCTGTGGAGAGCTTTGTGCTTTGGAGATAGATAGTTTTTGTACTTGGGAAATCGGACATTTAATTTTGGTACTGAAGACACAGTATGGTTTGCTTACCTGCAGACCGAATTAAATCCCTTGAACAGGAGGCTGAGAAGGAATGTGTATCAAAATCCTTTCTCTTTGATGTAGTGACAGGAAAACCTAAGGGCCCTCAGAGGTTAAGACTGCTGTAAAAACATCACAGGTCATTAGGGCTTGTCATTAATGTTTTCTCCAGAAATCTCAAAAAACCCTCCAACGCCACAACCTGATCTAAAATAAAAAAACCCAACCACTTAGCTAACAACCAACCCTCTCCTTCCCCCATGGCAACAAAATAGTTCACTGTTCTGGCTTTTGCTGTTTTAAATTTGTAAAGTTTTCCTTAATAATAAATCCAAAAGTTGGGGGTTTTTCCTATTAAAGACAGCTGTCTATGTTAGAAGGAATTACTCTTTTTCAACAACTCTGTTAATATCCCATAGGAAAGAAAATGAAAAAAACAGTTCTTAAATGTGTGGGAATTTGCTCAAAGGATGAAATTACCTCTTCGGACTTTACTTACGTTGAGGGGATAGAGCAATTAACGTGAAGAATGGGACAGAGAAGTGGCTACATCTCTTCAAAATTGTTCAGCATCAAATCTGAATGAAAGCATCTAAAACATATAATGATCTTTTAGTATGTGCTGTTTCTTGTGCTGTCAAAGAGAAAAGAATGGTCTGTTGCATCTTCTGTTACACTTCCTTTTTAAAGTGTACTTATAGTTAGTAAAGTAATAGCCTTTTAATTATGCACATCTGTATGGTTTGAAATACATGTGTATTAGTGACTTGTAGAGGCTGTTGCTATTCTTTACTCGTTGATGGTATTGGCTCTGCAGAGATATTTCAGAGAGTTTGGGATTCTGTTTTGATTTGAGGGACATCAGCAGTACTGCTAATGAAGTCCCAACAGATTTCTTTGAGAGGGTGATTTGATTTGACTGCCAGTTGGTTCTAAGCTAGCAGAAAAACATTTTCTTTTGCAAATTTAGCACATTGGATCTGAAAAGAATCAAATGATAATAGATTGTCATATTATAAAAAACAGTAGGAGTTTTTTACTGTCATTAAGCAAAGACCTGCACTGAAATTCACAAAATGTGAATTTATTAGGTTAGAATTGTAAAGGCTCTTATCCTATCCATACAAACTATTTGTACATCCTTGTAAGATGGTTTTGTGATGCAGGCACGTGTAAATTCCTGTCTTTAACTCTGCATGAAAGTGTTCTAAAACAAAATTTGCATGTAAATTCTCCCATTTTATAAGTGCATGGCAAAATATAATTGTTGTAAGCCATGAGTCTTATTTTTACTCGCCGATGTCTCAGTGTGGGTTCTAGTAACTTGGCAGTTTTACATACGGATGAAACTTTATGTTGGTTTGTTTTTGTTTTTTTTTAACTGAACACTGAAGTAATGAATCTAGTAGGTCTGGTTTTGTTACATTTTATTTTGAGGTTATACAGTGCTCTGCTTTCTTTTCTGGTCCTGCTATGACTTCTGCTGAGCTGAAATGAGCATGACAGTCAGAATTTTGGTTGCAGCAGAAAATGTACAAACAAGTAACATGAAGTGACAACAGCTTTTAAAATGGACACTGTAATGAAGAAAACCCTGCCCCTCTCTCCAAACGATTTAGTAGTAGAAGTAGGAGGAAGTCACGGTCTTGCTCAAAGTAGTTGATGAAGTTGGAAGGAGAAGGTTTAGTGGTGCTACAGAGTAGACACTTCACAGTCATGCCAGCTGTATCTGCCTGTTTCAGCCAGCAGTAATGCATATCCCTCTTGGTCTATTACAAAAGTATCCTATTTTGTATGCCAGTGAAATAAGGAACAAGAGGCCTTTGCTGCTTCTTCATCCCAACATTCTGCAAGGATTTATAATCATCACTCTTTTCTTCTTGGCAAGAGATGAGACGGCAGCATTCAGAGATGAGCTGAATGTTATACTGAATGCTTCATTCAAGAGGCTAAAAATCATGAGTGTTGATAAAACTATTAGTAATGACCTCCTTTTCAGGACTGTAATGCCCTGAAGGACTGCCTTGAAGTTACCCTTCCTCTGCTGCCTCTGAGCAGAAGCAGTGACTGGGAGGTCAGAAATGTCCTAAGAGATGATTTTTGGTGTTTTGTTGTCTGATTCCCTTTTCATGAAATTAATAGTCGGTTGTGGCAGAAGAATCTCACGCCAAAGATTTCAGAAAGAGTCTGTGTATCCTGAACTTTGTAGTGAAGACCAGAGGATATTACTGCACATTGTGGGTCCCTTGTGTTAGTTAAGAGACCCAAAGGCATACATGGACACTGTGATCAAGTTAGGCTACAGACACAAGTGTACATTTACAGTTGCATTGTTTTTTTAATGCTCTGAGCTTACTTGAATACCAGGCTGTGCTTCATTGGTATTGATTTCTGTTCTTCATATAAAGTTTAAAGCCCTACAGTGTTTTGCTGTTTAGTGCTTTTCCTCTGACCTTTTGATTTTCGCTAGTCCTCTGAAGGGACTATAGCATTCTTCTACATTAAATCTTGCAACTCAGTGGGAGGGTTGTTGTTGACAAAACAAAATGTTAATCAAATACAAACTATTGATTTGACTTTTTCATTGCTGACATTTTTAAAACAGAGAAGAGAGATGAAGTGGTATATTATGACACTTACGAAAGTATGGAAGCCATGCTTGAAAAAGAGGATATGGCAACATCTATACAGTTGCAAAAAGAGGAGCTGCAAAAGTTACAACAAAAAATCCGCCAGCTGGAAGCAAGGCGTGGACGTATTTCAGCCAAGAAAGCCTACCTCAGAAATAAGAAGGTATTATGAAATTGCAAATTTCTAGCATAATTAGCAAATTTAATAAAACTTCAAAAGGTTTCATTTCAGATACAACTTCCAAGTCTCACAGAATTTTTGTGAATTGTATTTACTACTTACTAAAAGTTGTTTTACAAAATACCAAATACAATAGCATGTATTACTAAATTGATATGTTTAAGATTCCATTTACCTTTTAGCTTTAAAGGAACCTTTAATTATTTTGAAGTCAACAAATAAACTTGTTTCTATTAACTAATCAGAATACTTTAATGTGGAGAGTACATGCTAGAATGCATGTTCTTACAGAGAGTAATTTTATATATATTTGCAGAAGAGAATTTTCAAAGGTGTTTTCTCACTAATGAGATTTATTTTCATTCTCTTACTTCATCCCTTTAAACTTATGTCATGTCATTGATACTCTATTCAGCAGATATATATGAAATTCAGTATATATTCTTAATTTGTAAAACTAGGCATGCTATTTAGGGCCACTTTCCTTTTTCATTCATTACATGATGCGAATGCTGTGCATAAAATTGTTTTAATATAGCTAATGTTTTGAAATTGTGTATCAAGTCTATGTATGTTCCTTTTTCCCAGAATGACTCTTTTATTGTTCCCTAGCAGTTTGTGGTTACATCAATATGCATTATTAATGAGCAAGATAGCTTAATGAGTAGAATAGATCAAAGTTTTGAGAAAGCATTGTAATACTTGTTATAAAATAGGTTTCTAACCCATACTATATACTATAGGGCTGTGCAGAAGTGTCACTTGAGACCTCATTCTAGAGTGGGATCAGGGGTTGGTGTGGTTGTATGTTCCCAGTCATGTCCCTTGATGTGGGAGATGACCCCTTTACATAAACAATTCTAGTAGATTGAGGGTAAAGCCTTCAGGTCTTGCCTCCCTTTCGTAACTAATGTATCTATTTCTGTACCTGAATCTGAAGCATAACACAGCAAACAAAACAGTAGTTCATACATTTTATATTTTGGATTTTTTGTATTTCTTCAGACATTGTCCTGTCTCTGATTAACACAATATGGAGAAGACTGCAAATAAATTATTATGAAAGAAATGTCTCTTGTTAGCCAGTTATGAGAAGTCGTTTGCTCAGAGTTATGGAGTTTCTTTTATGTGACTTTGTAAAAAGAAAAACTATCAAGAAGCTGGGCTTTTTAGTACTTTAAGGAATAGATCCTATCTGTCATGGTGTGCTAATTAACATAGGCTACATTATAATAGTTACGCTACTTTCTCCTGAATATGAAAAGACACTTCTGGCATCTTACAGAATAGACAAACCTGTTCAAAAGTGACAGGCTGCTTGCTGTTTCTTACTCAACTTACGGGAGTTAACAAGTGGAAAAGCAACAGTGAAGCAGGACTAGAGATTTTTTAGCATGCCTTCTCAGCGGTATAAAGAGCTAGTCACCTTCAATTGGCTCATTTGTTTCAAGGTAATGCTATGATAAAATACCTTGTTTAAGCTGGAAGAATTAGTTCTAGGCTGCAGCACTAGTTGCAGCATGCCTACTTGTGCAATGAGACATGATGCAGAGTTGTATGCGGCAGTATTGCTCGTCTGGGTCTGCGTGTGGGAGTAAGTAATATAGTCATGTCTACTCAACGTTGTGCTGGACGAACATGGTTATACTGCTTTCAGGACCTGAGGTAATGTCTCCACGTGGAACTTCAGTGCTGGACATAACAGCACTCTCAGAACTAGTTCCAGCTCTTTACTGATTTCATTGCCCAGTATGGCATTATCTGCAGTTGAGTACTGCATTGAGATACTTAGCTTTCAGCTTCTAAAGAAGTCACAGATTAGAATAATGTGTATTTAAACTTGGAGGGGGAAACAAAAGGTCTTTACCTGAGCAAAAAGAATAGGCAGAACCTGTTGTTGTGTGCCATTTTGCAGCACTCAGGCAGAAAAGAACATAGCTGTTCTGAGGGATATTTATGTCAGAGGTATTTACTGTAGCTGCTCTTATTACTGCTGAGTAACGCAGAGCCTTACTAAGCTTACTGGTAATACCTGAAAATCAAGACTCTTGTGACTTTGATTCAAACATAAACAAGCTTTGTATCTTGAGTGACAATTCTAGAGATACTGCAAAACATTGTTAATGAAAACTATTTATAGTGCCTGACGAGGGTTGTGGTACTTTACAAAACAGGGAGGGAAAAAGGGTTCTGGCTCTTCAGAGTTTGCAATTTAAGTTAAGCATGCAGAACAAAGGTACAGATGGGATGCAAAAGCAGACTCTAGATGGTGAAAATGAGCGTAGTGATGACTGAACGTTAAGTGGAGAAAAGAATTGAGTTTTTGAGGGTGCATTTGGAAAGCGCATGTACTATGCGGTAAATGTCTTTCTCAAAGTCTGTCTGTCTCTCTCAATTAAGAAACATTTATTGTTGAACTGAGATGAGAGTCTGCTTAATGCTTTTCAGATGAAACGCTTGTTTCGGCAAAGTATCTTAAAACAGACCTGTAAACCAGTGCTCTGTTTTGGAGTGGGTTGGTGAGGTTTTGGTGGATTTTTTTTCCTTTCTTTTTTGTATTTTTTTTTTTTTTAACCTTGTCCTGTAGTTGAAAACAAAAAGCAAGCTGTGCATTAAGTGGTGTATATCACAGTCTTGTGATACAGTTAGAAATTACAGTCCTTGCTCATTATTAGGTTTTGGGCAACTGAAGATTCCCTTAGGAGAATGCCTTCTTTCTAGCAGCAGATACCATGATTAAGAAAAGAATAGGAAATTATTCTCTAGCATTAGTTTTTCTTTTTCAGAGGAGGTTGTTTCATCATCTGGGTATTTGAAAATCTTCTCGGTTAAGGAGGTAATGCAGTGAAAGGAAATCAATTACTCTGTGTAGAATAAGACTATATGTAATATAAAATTTGATGACTATAGTCTCCATTTATTTTTCAGAAATTCCTTCCCTGTTTTTGCAGTTGAAGCTTTTATTTTTTAATGATGTTGTCAAATAATTCTACCAAACCTTTATTTAGAAACTTTTGTTAAAAGTTTTGTTGCAAACCTCATTTTTTGATTCTGAATAACTGAGCCAGCATTTTTTAAATTTATGGTTTTACAGAGGTTGATGTTCTTTTGCTGTACTACCATGAGTATAAACTCTTTATTCTCCTTTTTTTTTTATACAAACCTATTTGCCTTTGTTAAGCAGTCATTTCCTGATGTTCCTTTTTGTTGATGACAGTGAGTTAGTTATTAAAAAATAAGATTTTAATAGCAGTCTCACTATTTTTTTTATTTCTTGAAAGCTAGTTTCAAAGATTTTTCATGCAGGGTATCCCTATTGTTATCCCAGTCTACCCCCTGCTGGCTGCACAGTAGTATTAATTAGTTTATCATGTGGAACAAGCAGCTGTTTTATTAGGGAACTAGATTTACAGCAAAGAGTCAAGGTAAAAAAGATGGTGAAGAAGGTGTCTAGAAAAATATCTTTGGAAAAGTAGAGTTGTGAAGAAACTGAATTATTTTACATCCAGGAAGGGTATTCCTCATCATGAGCAGACTGGGAGAAGCAACTGATTGGTGAAGCTGTTCAGGGTATGTTCCTAATGTGTGCTTTGATCTGGGAAGCTTCCTCATGTGCTGTTGTGTCCATTTAGTAGGGCACCTTTGCTGCTTTGCAGGCCCGGAGTTTAAAGCGTAGCCCATGCCAAAGCAGGTGTTATATAGATGCAGTGACAGCTGCCATAGGGTTACTTGGTATGCTTTCATATTATTATTGTTGTTATTATTGTTATATGCTTTCATATTATTATTACAACAACAACAACATAAGAGCATAACTACACAGAACAGTTATAGTAAAATATGGTTTCTGCGCATACTGAGCTTACTAAATGAGAAGCTAACCTTTTAATTGGGATGCTTTTCAATCTGAAAGCAAGGCTCACTGGAACTAGTTAAATATAATGCTAATGCAGATCTCTTTTACATATACTGCATGTTACTAGTCTTAAACATGGTAGCTTATCCAGTTACGAGGGTTGAAAGGGTTCCTCAGCTCTCCCTTTTTGTCACTTTCGTAGAAGTACAGTTTGATACTGTGAAATCAGCCAGAGGATTAAAAGACATGAACGTTATTCCTTGATGCTCTCTCAATTCTATACAGTTGGTCAACATCTGTCTTGAAGGGTGACTCTCACTGGACATAATGATCCTGCTTTCGCAGTGCTGAGAAGGAAGGACTACCTCACATGTGTAGCAGGCTGTATTCCTGCTCATACACCCAATTATGATGTTTTCTTTTTTTGCCAGAGTTTGTTGGTTTATGTTCAACTTGTCATCTGCCATAATCACCCAGATAATTTTCTTTAATGCTGCTACCTGGGTGGTTTTTTTCTTCATCCTTTGTTTGCAGTTACTTAATCTTGTCTACAAGTAGAACCCTGCATTTGTCCCTATGAAATTGCAACCTTTTTTTTTTTAACCATTTCTGTAATTAGTTAAGATCATTCAGATTTCTAATCCTGTGCTGCAACATGTTTTCAGCCCCTCCTGGTCTTTTATTATTTCAAGTCATAGAGATGTAATTGCATTAAAGTAGGTTGTTTATTAGTGTAAAGTCAGCACCAAGTATGTTTTGGTCTGGTTTGTCCCCTTTACATCCTTAAAATATCGTTCATTATTACTCTTAATCAGAAAGATTTAAATACTGATGCTAAAGAGAAAGTGTTTCATAAAAGACATGTCAAAAAACGCAAACCAAACTTAACATATGTTTTCTCATTATTTTATAGTGCTTTTTTATATCTTGTAACATACATTCCTTGTTATTTTAGAAGACTTTTAATCAAACTTAACACACAGAGAATAAACTATAAAGGTACATCAGTAGTAGTATTACAACAAGTCTTTCAGATTCTCTAATAATGTTCTGAAGCTATTGCTGTGTCTTTGAAATGCAGAAATGAGGTGCATTTTGCGATTACATTTTGCATTTTGCAGTTACAAATTAAATGAATTAACTTTTCCAGCTGTATTAAAAACTCTTTTCATCAGGGAAAAAATCGCCACAAACAAACATAAAACCCATCAGTGTTTAGCTATATATATGTATAAGCTTCTGATGAAGCTGGGACACTATTTCCACAGAAACTTATGCTCTTGTTGGTTACCTGTATAAGGCACCAACATTGATGGTTTTACTGTTTAGAAACATTCAAGACAACATGGGTTTCTGTCCTATACAGGAATACTGGCTACCTTTTTATGTGATCACCGGATGTCCATAGTCAGCTTGTAGGAGAAAGTAACTTTATCTGCATTTCCAAGTGTCCAAAACTGTGGGCTTCTTTTATCCCTCCCCTCTTTGTTTTTGTGTCTTTCTGCCACTACTGTAGTATCTTGGTGGCTGGTAACTCCGTCAGCTGCCCCAAGCAATGCCTCCAGTGGCAAAGCTCCTGTCTGGCTCTACCCAGTAAGTCAAGCTGACTGATGCCTGAGAAGCCCCCTGCTTCGGTATTATAGCTACAGTCACACTCCAAACTACTTTCTAACACCGCCCCCTCTTACACAGCCTAAGATCTGTTTCTAACTACATACACATCTGACGGTTCTGGTTCTTGTGGTGCTTGTACCAAGCCTAATTTGATTGCCCATACTGCCTGGTTTCCTGGCCCTCAATATTGTCCTATGAATTTGTCTGTCTTGTTGCTACTCTTAAATTCCTGCACATGCCTTTTCTTTGTAACTGATACTTAATTCAGTTCTTTCTATATTATCTACCTGAAGTTTGAGTGTCGTCCTGTTTCTTGTCATCTATTTATTGTAACATGGCCTGTTTATTTTGGTTTTTTTTTTTTTAACCTGTTCTTATTTGCAGGCAATGTAATAAATGCTTGTTTTTAAACCAGACGTTACAGATGTGAACTTGGTATAATAAATGAACCTGCTTGTGCATGCATAAAATTGTAACAACTTTATTAATGTTTGTGCTTGCAGATTGTACATGCAAAAGATGAACTGACACTTGTAAATGGGAAGCTGTCTAGTTGCATAAACAGGAATATGTAGTATTTTTGAGAGTTAGTTATTATCCATGTATACAAATACATGGAGTTACACAAGGGTTTTATGAAGTATTTGACAAATTGGTGTTTGTTGCCACTTCTGTACTGGTATTGTAGAACAGACTTTTCAAGCAGCTGTTACTTGTGTATATTCTTTTGGCAGTTAAAAGTAATAGATTTGGGTTTGTCTGGCTTGGTTTTGTTTTCATTTTATGGTTTTACTGTAAGTTAAATTAGCTTGGTTAAATTAGCTTGTCTGAGATAGGCTTTGTAATTCTTATTTTTCTAATTCTTAGTGCTATTTGCTAAATATGACATTATACCCTGTAAATAGATAATAGAAATACATATTTTAAAGATAACATTTTATTGTGTCTACAGGAGATCTGTATTGCAAAGCATAATGAAAAGATCCAGCAGCGTCACCAGAGTGAGGATGAATATAAAATGCACCATACTGTTCAGCTAGTAAGTTTGAGTTTTCTGCTGTTGGGTTTAGTGTTTAGTTAATAGCTTGCATTCCTCATTATACATTAATTAGGAGAGTATTCAGAGTGATAGCTGTTTTAGAAAAGATGGTGTGTATCCCTGACCTTTGCACCATGGATTTCTGTATCATATTATGCTGGTAAGGGGGAGTGTATAGCTGTGTTAGGATGACATTGAACACAAGCAAATAAAACAATTCTTTAATGTTAGGTTCACAGTCTAAGTGATTACTGCTAGGGTTAGGCTGCATGCAGTTTGTTATCAGGTACACATAGATGATTCTGGACATCTTCAAGTACAGTGTCAGATATGCTGAGATGAGTGAGGAAACCATACACATTTATTCTTGAATCTTAATAAGCTTGTCTGTTATTTTCTTCTTCCTACAAAAGAAATCACTTGAATTGTGTTGTATAAAGATGTAGTTTCAGTTGTGTGCTCCACAATTCTCTGCACAGTCTCATCGCAGAGAATAGGCTAGCTAGTCTAACTCTTGTGCTGAACATAATAGACTTTATCTTAAAGAATATTCAAATTCTGGGATAGGTCTTGGGAGCTCATATATAGTATCAATATTTAATAAAGATCACTGACAAAGATGCATTGAAATCCAAGTCTCTTCAATTCAGGCTTCAATTAGATTAGTGAAAGTGATTCTATTTCATCCTTATAAATTTTTAACATTGATACATTTGTCCAGGAAGTCAGCTGCATAATTTATTTTATGAAAAGGCTACTTGTGAAAGACAGTACTTATTGGCATACCCTTTAAGCAACTTCTCTTTTCCCAGTTTTTACAATAAGGCAAAGGAATTTGCTGTGTGGATTGTAGTCCCTTTATCATTCTTAAAAATAAGACTTGACAAAGCTGAAGGACTTTCTTGTCTCTCAAACATTACAGGGCTTTTTAGTTATTTATTTCACAGAGTTGTCCACTTGCCTTATGTAAAGAACCTTATGCTAATTTTTTTCTTTTTTATGTTGATAATGTGACTGAAAATTTGTACTGTTATTGTAAAATAGGTTTTCTGCCACTCTTTTTCATAAAGAATTTTGAAAAGATAAACTGAAGGTTGTCCAAACCTGAAATCAAATAACAATTGCATTTTCACTATTCCTATTTTAAAAAAAAAACAAACCAAACAAAAAAACAGCAAACAAACAAAAAAATCCCTTGAGTTTGAGACTGTTTCAGGAAAATTTTGATCTGATTGCCTATGTAACATGCAAGTGTGGTGGTAGAACCTTCCTTTCTTCCTGCTATAATCTTTTCTTTATGCTTCTGTTTTAACTTCTTTGCTGCATTGCTCTGTTATTTTCTTTTCTTTTCATCATGTGCTTCTATTACTCTTCACCTTTTCCTGTTTCCTGTCCTTAATTTTTCAGACATGTTCTCCTCTTCCTCTCCCTAATGCATCTATACTTACTTACTTCCGAATCACAGGAGTTGGCTCTTTTTGAAGGACACCAGGCCACTAGCTGACTTCTGAAAATGACAGGCAGGCAGACACTACTTTTGTGTTGACCGAATGACAATAAAAGTTCACAGAAGTGATCAGAATTTTTAATTATGATGATGAAGATGAGCTCTTAAAAGTCATACTAAATGTTGTGAGTCATTTAAGAATGAAAACTGCTGTTTCTGCTCAAGTTTTTTTCCTTATAGTCACCTGTTCTATCACTTTTCCTGATAACTTCTGAACTTGCATACAATGACTTCTGCCATCTGGTAACTAGCATCCACTTTCAGTAAATTTGACTGAAGAGTAGTGTTTTGTTTCAAAGATGTAGTAACTTTGCTGAAGTTTTGTGAAAATGGATGACTAGTTAAAGGAGGTGGATCAAAATGTGTGTTTTCATGGAGGTAAGATCTCTAAACAAGAAAAAAATACAACTGTCTTAGTTGCAAGGAAGAACTTCAAACCTTTATTGAAGTAAGATAACAGAAAATCAAGCTGGATTAAATAATGACAGCATAAGTTAATTAAACAGAAAACTTTCATTTACTGTTGTAAATTATAATGAAAATGTTGACTTAATTTGCTCAATATTAGATTTAATACTGGGTGGCACTGAGTTCCATGATTTCTTGCACTGTGAAAATACTATTATGACTTGTTTTAAATGGGCAACCTTGCAATTTGGACTGTCATTTTGTTCTTGGAATGAGAGAAAATGGATACTGGTTTGCTGTCTGGCTAATTTGTACTGTTTATAATTTAAGGGGGCATTTTTCAGTATAATAATCTGTCACGTCTCTAGTTCTTTCTCATCTTCCAAGGTAACAAGTCAAGTGTTCCAATTCCAGATTGAAATCTTTCTTTACTGAGTTTGCATTTCTTTGAGATTATAAAACATGAAATGTATAATATTTTTTAAGGGGAAGACAAAGGCCAAGTTTTGAAGTTCAGAAATGTGTTTATTTGAGAAGTAGATAGTTAGGTAATACTTAAAAATTAGCAGAAGAGTTATTTTAATTCAGTTTTTTTAATAATGCTAAACATAGCATTGGATATAATATTTACATGTTTTCCATATATTTTCTCAGAAGCGAGATCAATTACAAGATGAAGAGGAAAGAAAGAGCTCCTGGGTTAGTCAGGAACGACAGAAAACACTGGACAGACTTCGCACATTTAAACAGGTAACAGAGGAAAAGTTGTTCTTTTCCACCAGTTTCTTTTGCAAAAGACATTTTCACCCGTTCCAGGGCTAGACTATCCTATTAGCTATTGTCTTTCATTGTGCAGTTAACTGTTCTTTGGAAAATTTACAACAAAATACAGCATTGGCGGTAACGAATTCCTCTGGCCATTGCATTCCCAGTGCCGTAATAAGCTTCTTTTCACTCTTACATCTACACCTTGTGACAAGACACTTAGCAAATGCTCCTAAAAGAAGTACAATCTAAATGGTATTTCCCACAAAGAGCATTACCATCTGACACACCCCCACTACTACTGGTTGCTAGAACACCTGCCAGTACCTGCCCCTTGCTATTACAATGGAAGTATCAGAAAATGGATGGAAGGTGGAATGAAGCGGAGAGAGTAAGTAAAGGTGTGAAAGTGTGAGAAAACAGAGACTGTATTAATTGGCGAGGACTTTTTTTTGTTTTGCTGAATACATAAAAAAATACAGGTATGAGAAGTTTCTTTACTGGAAAGCTGTCTTGCTCAGCAGTACACTGTTTATCATATCTTTGTTGTGCAAGGCTTTTGAATTGCATAGCTTCTGTAAATTAAAGCAAATTTACTTACTTTAACCAGCAACTGTTAAGGAACTGACTTTACGTATAGGCATGTTTATATTGTTATGATGTCTTGCTCTAGGCCTACCACATTTGTGTAAAATGTATTAGACCTGTCTTTCAGAAGCAGTTTAAATTTTTGCATAAAAATGGCTACAGATCAAAGTAATGTGAAAAGACAGATACTGAGGCAGCAAATTTAAGAACTAAATAAAAAATACTTTGGAAAGTCTCAAAATACTTGATGTTTTCAAGAGACATGTTTTTAAGCAGTATGATTCACATCTAAGGCCAGTGTATTAGGTCAGAGAGGATGGGAGCCATTGACCACTTTTAGAAAAGGAAAGCAAGAGGGAATTTCGAATTTTAATTTCCAGAAAAAACAGTTTTGAATGTACAATCTGGTTCTTAGTGAAATCCTAATTCTAACCCATGTATATCCCTGACTAGACCAATCATGTGTAAATTGCTGCTTAACCAAGAATAAAAATTAAGAAAACTGATCATTTTTAGTGTAAAGGTGAGGATATATTTGTTTTGTTTTTACATCCAGAGCAAAATGAATGAAAATAGCAGATGAATTCTGCTTGTCAGAAAGGCAAACCCTAATGACAGGTACTTAGAATCTAGAATAGTGTGTTGCATGTACTTATCTAATTGTCAATAACTTATTCACTTTAGCGGTACCCTGGGCAAGTAATACTTAAATCAACCAGACTACGGCTGACTCACGCCAGAAGAAAATGTGCAGCCAGCTCAGCGTCCTGTGTCAATCAGCCTCAATCTTTGCCAGCAACCATACAAATTCAAGAGAAAAGTGAAGAGGTAGAATTGGAAAATGCAGTTCAGCCTTTGAAAGTGCAGGAATCCACAAGCTTAGAACAACTTCAAGATATCTCGTTACCTCCCAATGGTGTTACCTCTGAACTGCCTCATGTTAGTACTTCTTCACTCAGCAGTAATGAGCTTCAACCGGAGGCTGTTACTGTAGTACCGCTTCCACCCCCTTTGCCTCCACCACTTCCACCTCCACCTCCACCTTTGCCCTCCAAGGAAGATGCCACCAAATCCTTAGAGAAAAGCGACAGCTTTGTTAAACGTCAGAGTGAGGAGAAGGGAGTCCAGCACTCTTCCGGTATCCCGCCAGCACATCTGTTTGACAGCAGTCAGTTAGTCAGTGCCAAGAAGAAGCTTAAGAAGACTGGTGATCTAGAGGGTTTACAGAGGAGGAAAGGTAATGTTTTCATTTCTGTGCATTTAATTGTAATGCACATCAGTTCCTCTTTTGAATTGCTCTATAGAAAAGTGTATGCTGTGGTGATTCATTTATAATTATTAATGGGAAAGTTGTTAAATCCTTTTCAGCTGACAAACGTTGCCAACTCAAATTTTAGGACCTATACAATAGCATGTGGTATACTCGTTCAGTTAGACAGAAAACACTTGTGAAACTGTATCTAAGATATACCACGTTAGACTAGCTAGAAAATGGAGCTAAATGTTGTCTAAAAGAATATTTTCCTATCTAGTTTACAGCCAGCACTGCACATACTCCATGCTTTACCTGAGGGTGTGGTGTTTTTTTAATAACAGAATTTTACACCATTTCTGACCTAGTAGAATTAAAACTTGTCTTGGGACATAGGAAACCTTGAGAATGCTTTCTTCAAGGTTTCTTCAAATTTTAATACAAAAATCCACAAACCTTCAAGTACTCTTCAGAGCTGAGTAAGAATATGTAAGTTTAACTGTAACTGGAAATTAAATCTGTAATAACTCAGCAAAGCGTGTTAATAAATAGTTGAAAGATCAAAAACTTCTTTGGAAACTGAAGAGAATGAATAGAGCACAGGGCTGAGCTGGGGGATCTGTTACAACTTGTTGATTCTGTGCTACTTGTTCTTGACTGTTTATCCTTTATCCCATATGTAAAATGGGAAGAATGGCAGCAATGATTGAACAAAATAATCCTGGTGTTTCGGTGAAACATGCTATATTGGAGCAAAGGTTTTATTCGAAAATCAGAGATGGGATTTTCAGAAGTGCTCAGCTGAGCTATTTTCCTGGAAGTCACTGAGAAAAAGTACCTTGAGTTGGGCCTTGATTCACACTGCTGTAATATGGCTGTAATATTTTATTAAAAATTCTATGTGGCTTTGTCAATTACAACTACAGAAAACATCCCTCCATTGACATTTTCCCTCATCTAGATAAAATCAAAATTAGAACTGTCTTCATCAATCAGACAGAAACAAGAGTGTTTCCTCTAGAATTGTCTTTAAATGACTGAAAACCTTTGAAGCAACTGAATAGTTAGAGAATTCTTAAGCTCCTATGAATCCTGCAGGTCACAGGTAAAGTGTCTTAAGTTCATTATCAATTTTGATGCTGCTGTGCTCCATTTTTGGTTTTCTGTAGTCCTGTTGTTTAGTTTTTTGATACCCATTTTATCTTGCAATTTTATATAAAGCACATATTGTGTGTGCAATTTGATATACATCACAAAATGACAAATACAAAATCAAATTCCATCCTCCCTCTTAAGAGTATTGTTAATGTCTGCAGCAGCACTCTACCTGCTGCTCTGCATTCCCCAAGATGTTCCAAGTCTCTAAGTGGCTTCAGAAATTTGTCTCTGTATGACAGATGAGTGTCTTACAATCCTTCCTTCCTCCTTAAAATGTGCAGTCCTGTATTATTCTTTTATTTCTCTCTTTTCTTTGTGTCTATTCCAACTGTCTGGGCCATTAGTCTGATGGACAAAGCTGACTCCTAAATGCAAACCAGGATTTTACAATGTATTCTACAAGACACATACTCATCTGTTGATTGATACGTGCTAGTGTATGCAAGCTATTTCAAACTGTTGTACTTTTATTATGACGCATTCTCTGGGATACAGATCTTACCTGCTTGTAGCTCTTCAAAGAGCCAAAGCCTGATTTTTATTTCTGCAGAGAAGTAGTTTCAAACTGGTGATAAAGGAAGGATTTTGTGATAAAGTATTAACTCTTACTTCTCTGTTTTCATTAATTATAAAGGAAGGGAATTTATATAGGCATGCTGTGACTAGGTGCTACTACATACATGAATCCAGAGCAGCAGGAAAGTGCATGCTGTTGCAGTTGACTATACTGCTGCTTCCCTCACTGACATGTAGTAATAGTCATATAGTAGGTATAATCAGCCACAAAATGCAAGTGCTGATAATGGATTGCACAGTCCAATACTTAAGATACGTACTCACTACCTGAGTTTCAAAGTCAAGAAAGATAATGTAATAAACACTTTCATTGTGTCAGATTCATTGCAGCTATTTTGATTTTTCTGACTGCAAACAGGAAAGCCATCTTGTTTAAAGAGTTTTACTACCTGCCTGATAGGAGGTTAAGTGGTTTCAGAAATTATAATTGTCTGTATAAACCAGTTTTGACCTGGTAATAGGGAAGATAAACTTGGAGACTGAAACAGTATTGGAGCTACCATTATACTTATGGTATGGCACTGCCACATTAATAGTATACGGCTACTTTTTGGTCTGTAGGAAATATAAATGAAGACTGATAAAATTTAGTAAAAATAATGTTGAAGGTCTTTTGATTTACTGCAGTGAGTTCCCCGATGGATGAAGTGCTGGCTTCCTTGAAACGTGGCAGCTTTCACTTAAGGAAAGTTGAGCAGAGAAGTCTCCCTCCTTTTCCTGATGAAGATGATAGCAATAACATCTTGGCACAGATCAGGAAAGGGGTGAAACTGAAGAAAGTGCAGAAAGATGTTCTGAGAGAATCATTTACAATTCTGCCTGATACTGACCCTCTGACAAGGAGCATCCATGAAGCATTGCGACGAATTAAGGAAGCATCACCTGAATCGGAGGATGAAGAGGAGAGTTTGCCTTGCACAGACTGGGAAAATTAACCTGTAATTAACCTACATTTAAAAAAAATAATATTTCTTCAACACTTTTCGTATAACAATAGCAGCTAAGCCTCAGGTTGTGCGTTCTAGGAGACTTAGTATGAATGTTACTAAACTGTCTGACATCCAACGTGGTAAAACATGCACATATGAATTTAGTATTACTGACTTTTCCAAGAATTAAGGTTTATAGTAAGGAAAACTTTTTTTAGGCAACATCTTAGCCTTTTATTGTTTGAATACTTTTGCTGAATATTGACAGGACTACTCCTATAAAAAGCTCTGTTTTATTTAGTAAATTTGAAGGTACCGTTTGCAGCTTACCAAAAAGCTTTAAAAAGCTTTTAAGTAATAAAGCAGCACAATCACTCTTGGACACATTTGTACTTATTTTCTAATTACTTCTGGCCTTGCAAAAATTTAGCACATTTATCATTTCAGACTGAATAGCTTCAAGTGAAGGGCGGTTAGATTTGACTGCTGAACACACTGAAATCTCATTGGTTACCCTGTGTGACTGACTCTTTGATAGCTTGTTTTCAATCTGTAAACTCTCTGACTTAATTGAATTTCCAGGCTGTAAACAGTAAATATACAAATATAATTTATACTTCTGCTACTCCTATGAATCCCGTGAACTTCCATTATACTAAGCTACAGTGCCTGAAAGTGCAGATACTAGACTTCAGCTGATTAAATTAATGATTTCAGGACAATGCAGAAATTGGCAAGAGATTAGTTTTCAAAATTATGGCTGCATCAGTAGTACAAATGGATTCTTGATTACAACAACAGCATACAGCACTATTCTTCTGTGGTGGTATTTTTCTGCTACTGGCATGTGGATGAACTTAAGTCTCAGTTAAAGTTCCCACTGAACTTAAAATTTGGAGAAAAGAGAGGTATGACAATCTGTAAAGACTTTAAAAATCTGTTTAGAAATCAAAGCCTATTTCAAGAATACGGAAGATAAGTATTTATAATCCTTGCAACACAGCTAGCAGTAGAAAAAAGATAACCTTTTTGGGTGTTCACAATCAGGCATTTCTACCCTGGTTAGTTATTACCGTAGCTGGAGAGTGGCTATTGATAAAAGTGCTACAGCCGTTTAAAAAAGTGATGGTGACTTAGCCCATCATCTGCTGAATGTTGTTGTGATTATGAAATACTGTGTCTCAAACTGTTCCATTGTTATGCTATTTTATTCTTATAATAACAATAATAATAATAATATTATTATTATTGATTTTTAAAAAGGAAAATAAATGTTGCCTTTATTTCCTCATGAACTAGCCATTGGCCACACTAATGATTTAATAATGTTTAATTATGGCATGTTCCTTCTATTCCATACCAAATGTACTGCTAGTTTTGGAGCTGAAAATCCAGGAGTGGATTTTCTTGCTGAAACTCGAAGATAATTTCATTCGGATGTAACTTTTTTCTATACTTGCATACTGAAAACTTCCACTACCACAGCCCTTTAGAAATCAAGTGACAGCTATAAGAAAAGACATGTCTTGGAATTGACTTGGCTTTCTCAGTGCAATTATTCTCATTTCCTAGATAACTGAGCAAATTTAAACATTGTGATTTGGTTTGTGTAACTTAGTCTTTGGGATCTTGTTTGCAATTTTTAGCAAGAATACACTTTAATACTACGGGTCATTTAAAAAAAAAAAAAAAGGAAGGAATTTTCCAAGAGTAACTTCAAATTTTTTTTAACCTAGTTGGTGGACCTTCTAAACATTTTCCACTGGAAGGGTATCCTCTTAGAAGTCTTACGTGTACATTGCCATGCAATATAAATACACATTTTCCTCTGCTGTCTTTTGCAGCTCCATAGAAGCAGTTCAGAGTGCAGGTTGAAAATCACTGCCATGCAGTACCTGTAGTGCACTGGCTGTTGTCCCCTTTTTACAAGTCTACAATTACGGCATCTTCCCCTTTTAGGGATGCAAGCCTGTCAAATGCTGAGGTCCCATGAAATCACTTGGACTTAGAGCAGGATGCAGCATCAGAGTTCTGAGTGTGTGCTCCTTGGAGTTCTTCACACATCTGGGAACTGCTTTCTCTTACCAATGTCATATTTTGTTATGAAAAAATCCTGGGTTTATGAGATGAGACTATTTAACCGGTAGTACAGATTTGATTGAAAAACAGTTGTACAAAATAGCTAACAGCTCAGAAAGGAAAAACGGGCCCCTGCTATGGAACTGTGTGAAATAATCTTGGAGAACAGAGATTGAGACAAAGCCCTTGTGAGATTCAGTTGAATAAATACTTTTTCATGTAGATGAGTGTGCTTGCTTGAACATATAGACTGGTTACCCAGAATTTATTACATGAGTCAAATCTGCTTAAAGTCTATTGTAGAAATTGCAGAATAGTATTTTTTATTATAAGGTTATCCATTTAATACCATGCTTTAAGATTGACCTACTGATTTTTAACTGTAAGCTCTGCACATACAAAAACCAGTTGCATAGAGATTTTAGGTTGAAAACAGTTATACAAAAGTATATTGGCACGTATGTTACGAGCTATGCTTAATACATGTACATCCTTATAGGCTAAATGTAATGCAATCATTTGCCCTTAGGACTGAAGGCTAAATCTGATATAATGATGTTTTTCAAGTGCCAAAAAGTGTTTTAATGTATATGCAAGGAGTATTAACAATGTCTACTGAAGTGGTTTTATTAATTATTGAAGTTTGAAGACAAACTAATAGTAAATAATTCCTGCAGGAGATCTAGTAATCTCTTGTATTACCTGCTTTATGAGTTAACTTCTACATACAGTTATGACTAACTTTTGTAAGAGCAGTTCCTTCCTTATGGACAATCTAAACCACGTACAAAAATGTTGAGGCATTTTATGGATTGGAAGTACAGCTGAACAAGCAGTACACAGAGGCAGTAACTTCTGTATGAAAAATCAGAAGATTACTGGTTATCAGAAGTATGCCAAGCATGTGTGTGTGCACACATAAATCACTTATAGTACATTAAGAGCACTATAAGTAATGCGAAACCTGGGTTCCTGGGAGTGGTGGACAAAGTAACAGATAAGAAGCTAGCTTTTGGTCTGTGTATTTAATCCAGTATTTTGGGACTCTTCCAAGTATGTGTTCACTGCCAGCAATACCAGAAGGCAAAAAAAGACCTGGTCATACTCTGTGTGTCCTGGCTCCAGAGTTAGTGTGTCATTACCCTGGGAGCAAAGAATAAAGGCTTTTGAAGACGCTGCTCAGTATTGCATGTTGGAATTGGCTGATAACGTTGATCATGGAGTATTTGTACAGCTGTTTAGCTTTTCAGATGTTCCTTTTTCTTTTTTCCCAAACAGGTGATTCACAGCCACTGATGTGAGAAAAGAAACCCCAGCTGAAGATTACTTTTCCTCTTCATTTCTGAATATTCAGAGCCAGCAGTTATGACCATCAATTCCACAGGAGGCTTTCTTTGGCAAATGATTCAGTACATGGAAAAAATGGCCTGAAATGTTAATTTTCGGGTCACTTTTTTCTTTAATTTGTTCAAAAAATTCTGGTTTGGGCAGAAAGCTAATTTGTTTAGATGTGCATTTTATATAATCAAGAATGCCCAATTCTTAAGCACTTTTTATATTTGCGTTAGTAATATGTGGCCAGTTAAGTGAGGGGGGCATTTTGAGTTGGGAGAATACTTGCTGTTAGAGTAACTTTGGGATTCAGCCAAGACATCAAACCAGCTATAAAACGTCCTCTTCACTGCACTGAATATATCATCTGCTTGAAAATCCAACTAAATAGCTCCTTGCAGAGAAGCTTGCTGTGTAGCAGTGTGATATTCCAGAGAGCAGAATTCCTAGTTGCACTACAGTAGCTGAAATTCAGTAACATGCAACTAAGACTTTTTTTCTTCTTAGTTTGAAGAAGTGTATGTCAGTATGAAGAGTAACAGGTGACCACAGCACAATGAGAAACAAGAATTCAGTACATATTCAAGAATGTGTTTGTTTCCAACATGGTACATTTAGCAAGACATACTGCACACCTTTTTAGAAGGTCATTTGTAGTCTGACACCTTTTTAAATTAGACATTTTCATGCTTTTTTAAAATCATATTTAGCTATGCTGAACCAAGTTAGTTATACTTTTATCATGTTACAAGAAGCAGTATTTTGAAATTTCATACTTAAATTTATTTTTCTCTTTTGGATTAAAATGGCTTTTAATTACTCTAAGCAGCCTTCTTTAAAAAAGATCAAAGCATTTAAACATACTGGTAATTCAGTTGTGAAAATCATGCTTCTTTTGCTGGTTTTCATTATTCCCTTTAGTGGCTGCAAAAATGTTTTTATTTCATACCCAAAAGCCTACTGGCTGGGAAAAAACTTCCCTTTTGATCCTGACTATTTGGTTTTTTAAAGGAGAGTCACAGCTTCCTCTGCGGTGAATACTTAGAAGTAATCCTGAACTTCATGACTCACGGCTGCAGGCAGCTACTCTTACAATACCATAGTACTAAGAGGTATGTCAGTACAGAGATACAAGTAGCCTTGTACCATCTGGAAACTCCATGTGATATTAAAGTCAGCCCATTACAATTCTAGGAAAACTGAATTTTCACTAGCCTTTTATTTTTACTACCATGACATACTACAGAATGACATGTGTTTGAGAAATACACAGTCGCTGTCATTTGTGCAGTGTGGTCCATTCACTGTTGCTCTTGTGACGGACAAACTACTATGGGGATTTAGTTTTTTTAAGTGGAGTTATGCATTGCTGTCATGTAATGGAACACGTACTGTGTTAACGTTTATAACAGGAGATTTCACGTCTTGCCATTTACTTATATAAAGAGGAACAGGAGAACTTACCTTAGCAATAGGCTATGTAACCTAAAGGAACGTCAGCTCTTGGACCCTTCAGTTGTTTTGCTGTGGCTCTCCTGAAATTAAAGCTCTGTCAAACATCTTGAAAGGATGTCACTTTACCCTTGCTATCAACAGGCATT